CTCCCGAGGGAAAGGACTGCGGGTTAGCATGTCCCCCTGCCAGCCACCCGTGTGTCAACTCCCCCGGCCCCGCACACCACACCAGCTACCCACTGCCCTGGCAGCGCCTGCAGGACACCCGGTCCCAGCCCCTCTCACCGTGCCCTTACCTGTACTTGGTCTCCCTGCCAATGAACTGCACCATGCATCTCAGCGTGATCACTGCGGGCAGAGCCAGACACAGCAGGGTCAGCGTGGGGGAGCCAGGCTGCACCCCCGCGACCCCAGTCCTGTGGGGCCAGACACGGAGCCTTTGCCCTCTGAACTCAGGGCATCAGCACAGGCTCACAGGCCCCAGCAGCCAAGGTTAACAGGACGATTCAGCCAGGCGCCTCCTGGCCACGGGCAGAGCTCTGCTGAGGAATGGCTGGGCCTTGAATTGTACCCATCCCATTACCTCAGCACTGGTCTCTGTGGGTGGATCCCATGGAGCAGGGCTGGGTGTGAGCCCCACCCCACCGCCCCCACAGCGCCGGGCACCTACCGTGGAAGGGATGGGTGACGAGTGTCGCGGCAGAACGAGCAACCATCTCTCGGGAGGTCTGGAACAGACACGGGCCATTAGGGCTCAGCCAGGGCACGTGTGCGGCTGAGAGCAAACAGGGAGGGGGCGGGCCTGGGGGCGGTAGGAGAGTGGCGGCAGAAGGCGGGGCAGGTGGAAATGCTAGGGGGAGCCGCTCGGGGGCAGCCGAGTCTCAGCGCTCCCAGGCTGCATGCTATGGGAGGTGCCAGGAGCCAGCACTTGCCACTCTGCACATGGGCAAAGCCAGCACAGCCCTGCGGCTTGGCCCATCGGTGACTGGATGCCCGGCACTAGGAGCAGCCCAGGCCTCCGCGCCACACGGCCACATGCGCCTGGAGTGCAGCAGGAGGCAGTGCCTGGAGGACACCAGGCTGCCATGCAGTGCCCTGCTGATGACATGTGGCGTGGGGGGCAGGGGCATGCGCCAAGAGGCTGCAGGAAAGGAGGGAAGGGGAGTGATGCCATAGTGGGGGGGTGGAGAGAGGTATAGAGCAATGGGCACCCCAGGGAGCAGATGGCAGCCAGGACCCTGCTAAGGGGGCAGCGCTTGGAGATGACTCGCTGGGCCGAGAGGAGAAGGGAGGGCTCTAGCAGGGGGAGATGGGGAGGCACACTGTGACCCTGGCAGGCCAGATGCCAGCTCTTGCCCAGGCTGCAGGTGTTGGCTAAGAACTGACAACCTCGTAGCCGGAACCCAGACCAGGTCACCTGTCTGGTAGTTGTGCTCAAGATGGGGATTAGCCTTATAAGAAGGCTTATGTAGAAGCTTAGGACTGGAAGGGACCTCGAGAAGTCCTCTAGTCCAGGCCCCAGCACTCATGGCAGGACTAAGTATTATCTAGAACATCCCCGACAGGTGTTGTCTAACCTGCTCTTAAAAATCTCCAATGATGGAGATTCCACAACCTCACTAGACAATTTATTCCAGTGCTTAACCAGTTAGGAAGTTTTTCCTAATGTCCAACCTAAGCCTTCCTGGGTGCAATTTAAGCCCATTGCTTCTTGTCCTGGCCTCAGCGGTTAAGAACAATTTTCTCCCTCCTCGTAACAACTTTTTATGTACTTGAAAACTGTTATGTCCCCCCTCAGTCTTCTCTTTTCCAGGCTAAACAAACCCATTTTTTTCAATCTTCCCCCATAAGTCATGTTTTCTAGACCTTTCATCATTTTTGTTGCTCTTCTCTGGACTTTCTCCAATTTGTCCACATCTTTCCTGAAATGTGGCGCCCAGAACTAGACACAATACTCCAGTTGAGGCTTAATCAGCGCGGAATAGAGCGGAAGAATGACTTCTCCTGTCTTTCTTACGACACTCCTGTTAATACATCCCAGAATGATGTTCGCTTTTTTTGCAACAGTGTTACACTGTTGACTCATATTTAGCTTGTGATCCACTATGACCCCCAGATCCCTTTCCGCAGTACTCCTTCCTAGGCAGTCATTTCCCATTATGTACGTGTGCAACTGATTGTTCCTTCCTAAGTGGAGTACTTTGCATTTGTCCTTATTGAATTTCATCCTATTTATTTCAGACCATTTCTCCATTTGTCCAGATCATTTTGAATTATAATCCCATCCTCCAAAGCACTTGCAACCCCTCCCAGCTTGGTATCGTCAGCAAACTTTATAAGTGTATTCTCTATACCATTATCTAAATCATTGAAGATACTGAACAGAACCGGACCCAGAACTGATCCCTGTGGGACCCCACTTGTTATGCCCTTCCAGCATGACTGTGAACCACTGATAACTACTCTCTGGAAACAGTTTTCCAACCAGTTATGCACCCATCTTATAGCAAGTAGCTCCATCTAGGTTGCATTTCCCTAGTTTGTTTATGAGAAGGTCATGAGAGACAGTATCAAAAGCTTTACTAAAGTCAAGATATACCACGTCTACTGCTTCCCCCCTATCCACGAGGCTTGTTACCCTATCAAAGAAAGCTATCAGGTTGGTTTGACACAATTTGTTCTTGACAAATCAATGCTGTTACTTATCACCTTATTTTCGTCTAAATGTTTGCAAATTGGTTGCTTAATTATTTGCGCCATTATCTTTCCAGATACAGAAGTTAAGCTGACTGGTCTGGAATTCCCTGGGTTGTCCTTATTCTCTTTTTATAGATTGGCACTATATTTGCCCTTTTCCAGTCTTCCATGACTTTTCAAAGATAATCGCTAATGGCTCAGATATCTCCTCAGTCAGCTCCTTGAGTATTCTAGGATGCATTTCATCAGGCCCTGGTGACTTGAAGACATCTAACTTGTCTAAGTAATTTTTAACTTGTTCTTTCCCTATTTTAGCTTCTGATCCTACCTCATTTTCACTGGCATTCACTTTGTTAGACGTCCAATCACCACCAACCTTCTTGGTGAAAACCGAAACAAAGAAGTCATTAAGCACCTCTGCCATTTCCACATTTTCTGTTATTGTTTTTCTCCCTTCATTGAGTAACGGGCCTACTCTCTCCTTGGTCTTCCTCTTGGTTCTAATGTATTTGTAGAATGTTTTCTTGTTACACTTTGTGTCTATAACTAGCACTTGATCTCGCTTTGTGCCTTGGCCTAATTTTGCCCCTGCATACTTGTGTTATTTGTTTATTTTCATCCTTTGTAATTTGACCTAGTTTCCACTTTTTGTAGGACTCTTTTTTTGAGTTTCAGATTATTGAAGATCTCCTGGTTAAGCCAGGGTGGTCTCTTGCCATACTTCCTGTCTTTCCTATGCAGGGGGATAGTTTGCTCTTGTGCCCTTAATAATATCTCTTTGAAAAACTGCCAACTATCTTCAATTGTTTTTCTCCTTGCACTTGTTTCCCATGGGATCTTACCTGCAAACTCAGGGAGTTGGTAGGTAAGACTGCCTTCTTGAAATCCATTGTCTTTATTTTGCTGTTCTCCCTCCTACCATTTCTTAGAATCATGATCTATCATTTCATGATCACTTTCACCCAAGCTGCCTTCCACTTTCAAATTCTCAACCAGTTTCTCCCTTATTGTCAAAATCAAATCTAAATCACCCTAATAGCGTTCTCCATCTTCTGAAATAAAAAATTGTCTCC